CCAATATCCGTGAAGCTCGACGAACAGTGCTCGAGAATCCGGCGTGTCGATCGCGAAATTAATTTCTCACCGGACGAAACGTGCTAGCATAAACGTGAAGTTTCGAGCCATGGTCAGCAAAATTACGGCCGACTCGACACCGAAAAAATGTTGGCAAATCTTTCTGCCCATGGGAACGGATCGTTGGATTTCCGGTTGCATTGTAATCCGTCGAAATATTCGACACGATCCGAAGCGGGCAATAATCTCTTTCTATCTCGTGAGACGATTGAGAAAATGTTTCTATAGTAGAAAAAGAAGAAGAAGATGGAGAATCCATATCGTGTGCGTGTCCCCGTGTGGTGCAAACGTTCGAGGAGGCGATCGACCGGCGAGCAAAAGGGGGAAAGGGGGTGGCGGCCAAAGATCGATCGATCTCTCGAGGACGACCGGCAAAAAATCGAGAGATGGTCGTTTCATCGAAGGAGAGATCGCGAGAGTACAGGGGGTAGAGAGGAGGGAAAAATACGGAGAAAGGACGGATGGAATTCGCGAAAAGAGATCTGGGGGACGCGAGTGCACGGGAGAGAAAATCGCGAAAAAAAAAAGAAAAACGCCCAGTGGCCAACACAGTTTGTAACTAACAAAAAAATGATACAAACTGACGACGACGAATGGAGCTTGGAAAAGATCCGTGAACCGACTCCTGTATATATGTATACCGGTCGGAAATAAAATAAATAAAAAAAAAGGAACGAAAATCGGGCGAACGGAAGAGGAATGTCGATGTCCGCGAGGAGGCAACGGAAACCCCAACCGGAGAAAAAAGAGTTCGGGGAGGCCCGAAAGATAGGGGAGAAAGAGGCTCGAAGGCCTGAGGATCGAGAAAGAAAGATAGAGATTCGTCGAGGAACACACGAATATATGGAGAAAGCCGGGGGAGCATATAGGAGGTAGGAGGAACAGATGGAGAAAGAAAAAAAGAGTTTCGCACCGAACGAATACCAGAGAGATCGTCCTGCAACGGGTTTCCAGGCGTTCGAAGATGCGATATGGGTCGCCCAAGGCGATAACCCTCCAACACACGATTTCGATACTAGTCCTGGCCCGTCGTCCCTATTGCCTCGGATCCTCTACCTCTTCGATTCCCTCAAGTTCCCTACGTTCCGTTCAATTTTTCGATACGATCAGTAGAGTATACTAGTATTTAAGCCTGCCTTCGCCAGGCATTACTATGTATGGTACCACGAGAAAAACCCCTAGAAGTAAATACCGATTTTTATTATCCTGCCATGCGCACAGAGCAAAAAATATCAGTAACAGCCGAAATTTTAACGTTTATCGCCATGGTAGCATAAAAAAAATCTCGATTTTTCTTCTAGTATACCCTCATTATAGTAAAAATATAAAACAAAATGTTCGCAATACCTGTTTTCATTCACAGGTACAGTAAATCATCGATGAGTGTTCGAAGGGTTGCGAACATTAAATATATTAGGTAAAGTAATGGCCATATGCGGCTACACCACTTAAATCTCATTATCAAGAGAAGCCTCCGAACACTCATCGATGATTTACTGTACTACCCATCCTCGAATGGTCCAGGTTTAGGAGTTCGTTTTTACGGCATCTTTGGGTGCCCAAGAAACTTCACGCCAAAGTTCTACCCTTAAATCATCGGGAAGTACGAGAAAAAGCCTCTGGACAGATTTTGCTAACAAACAGAGACAGACACGCTAAGAATTTTATTATATATACATACATACGTATAGTGTATGTATACCTTTCCCTCGTAAACAAATGCAATCCCACGGTTTCGGCAGCATGATTCACTGTGCGAATGTACAGTTATCGGGTGATTTAATGTAATTGAAATCGTTCCGGGCCCGCTAATCAGCCCCGATGATAACGAACGACCATAGTCGTAACCTTCGAAACTCGCGACTCTTTCTGTAATTATCGTGTGTTCCTCCCGAGTAAGAAATTTCGACGATGTCCAACGAAGATTCGAAACGATTCCACAGATGGAGGTGTTAACGAACGAAATTAATCGCTCGCCCTTCGATCGTTTTATCCTAATTATCACCCTTGGAAAGAACCCTGATCCCCCAACAGACTCTCTCCATTAACCCTTTAACGATGTTTGATGAGCAGACTGGCGGACGTTTATACATTTATAGCGTGTCCTTGCTTGCTAAACGTAGGAAAATAAAGATTTCTCTAAAGTTTAATAGTATTTATGTATTATTATTAACATACTGAAAACCCTAGTATAGGAAACAAAACTCTGTGCCATGGCTTTTTTCATATATCAGTGCGCAAATCTGCATAACCATCCGCAGTCTATTAATCAGCGTACTTGTCACGAGGAACTACTTGGGTAATAAAATACCGATTGCTATGAGAATGGAAATTTGACTAAAAATCGAGAAATATATATCTCTTCTTAAAATAAACGAATCAAGGTAATTACACACGCGAGTACACATTTAAAAAGTAATATTCCACCGTTAAAGGGTTGATGCTCGATAGTTTTAACACCCGATGGACGCGATCGACGCGTTAAAATCACCTGGCGGCCGCCGCCGCTGTGATTCTTGCGAAAAAACCGCGCACCCGAGAGAGGAGGAGGCTATGCGCCCTGGTGCATCGACGGAGAGGGGAAGACCAGTTTTAATGAACCGATCACTTTCTCATTTTCTATACAATTTGCAACATCATAAATTCCGTGATCGGTACGAGGGCCGCCGACAATGGCCCCTGTAATCACGCGTATAATACGAAAGCGCCGCGGAGCTCGTTTTAAACCGCGTCCAAGCACCAGTAATCACAAGATACAAGGGGACGGGGTGGTAACATTGTGCCTGTGGAATATAACTCGTGTGTCGTGCAACTCCGCGCGGAGTGGTCCTGTCAACCGGTGCGATCGCGAATCGGTGTGGTTATTAAGTATCAAATCGCTCGAAAATCATCGGTCTTCGGATCGATCCGATACGTGATTTCGCGTTGGGAAGCCCCTTGATTTTCATTCGGCTGGATCGACAAGGAGGAGGAGGGTTAAACACAGGTTACCGATCTCCGGCACAACCACGACCGATTACGCACAGTTTGCGTCGAAAACATCGAAGACATCTTTCAGACGGTTGCATCTATGCGGGGAGATAGATAAGTTGATTCTTGAAAAGCAAATATCTCGTTAGATTCTTTAACCCTTCGTGACTCCCGTTAATTTTACTGCTCCCCCTTATGTCCAGAACTATTCTTTTTATCTTACAGGCTTCCAAGAATCTGAAAAAATTCAGGTATACTTCCCAGTGTCTCTAATACACGATTTAATTGGTTCTAAAGATGAATGTTAACCCTGGATCGCTAAACTATCATAAAAATTACGACCTCGAATTCGTGATTCATCGCGATTGTCGATATATGTTCAGGCTGTACCATCTTTACTTTTCATTATTCTTAAGTCTATCATAAATACTTGTAACGAGGGTCACAGCCCCGATAAAAATAATATTTTTCCAAAATATTACATGTTTACTTCCAGTCATAACTTCTACGAATGATAATAACGCGTGAGTTACCGGAGACTTCTGTAATCTAGGGTTAAAGGTTTTTCCTTAATAACAAACCCTTCGTTTCGGAGATATTTGAGCGCGAAATTTCGCCTGTGCCATAAAAGACCCAGGGGAGGAAAGGGCGGTTAGGGTTAATACTTCTGAATAAAAACCAGGAGAATCTACGCCGTTCGATGAACAAATTCTTTGATTCGCATATATCTCTTCCAGGCGTCTACACGCAGATTTAACCCGTTAAGGACTCTTAACTGATCAGAATCTCGCAGCGCACACTCCTCCCGTCTCCTGCGGCGCGATCCGGATGATCGTCTCCTCGAGTTTCGCCCGTTGATCTCGATCGCGTCCCCCGATTGGTCGGCGTCTCCTCTCTCTCTCTCTCTCTCTCTTTCTCCCGTTGCGATTCCACGCGACGACGGTGTTCGAAATTGAAAGTGTATTATATTAAAAGGGGGCGTCCAAAGTGCGGATCAATTAAGAGAACGATCGCCGTGTGCAATTGATTAACAGACAATCTCGCATGGAATATTACATAAACCTGGGATTCCGAGATCGAGAACGGTAACGACGGGGGCGTGCAGGAGAATCCTCGAGTGAGGTTCAATGAGGCCCATTATCGCCTTCTCGCGGGCAGCCCTCGAAGGCAAGATCGAATTTCAAATCGATCCCCTGCACGGAGAACAGAACCCGCACGAACGAGCGACGTCGAGGAAGCCCGGAATATTTTTCACGTCGAACACGTAAAAGGGTTCGGATACCAGGCGAATTTAGAATGTTACCGCGCGCACCTCTTCCATCCACCGTGACATCGTTCTGCTCGTTTTACCCCGGCGAGAACCGCAGGGAAATCGCGAGAAATCCTAATCTCGATACGCAGTTTCCCGTCGCGGTTTTAAGTACCGTTAATAGATCGCCGTCGGGAACGGGTTACATAATTATTTTTCTCTTAAGCTCGTGCCACGGGGATCGAGGTAGCGTGCGCGTACCCACGGAGGTTCGAGTGCATTTCAATTTAAAACGACAATGTTGCAAATTGCAGTCGCGGCTCGCATGTAACGTCGCGGATGTATATTCGCCGCGGGTTCGAGAGGTTAATTCGGCTGTTGCCAAGGAAAAACACGTCAGCTGGCTGCCACGAACGCCGTTACAATACCGTAGGCTAATTCGCGGGTATCGTGGTCGCTATCGTCGAGGCGATAGTCGTTGTCGTTTTCCCGGAAAAAGTTCCGTGTATCTTTGCTAGTGGATAGAAAGCATGCTCTGAAACCGCGTATCGTGAACGATCCGACGTGTGATCGGTTATATATGCATACCGTATAGTTTACATAGTTCGCCCCCCCTCACCCCTGTTTGCGCGTTTATCAGCCTGTGTACTCTGAAGGGAGCAAAAGGTGGTAACAACGATTACCTCCCTCTGATAACAAGGAGGAATAGCCGGTGACTTACGTGGTTGCGCCAGGGCGAAAACGCTCTCGGTCTTGGCAGCGTACTCGTCGATCTCCTCGTGATGGGTGATACCAGGCTCGAGGGGCTGCGGCTGATCCGCCTGCATCCCGTACATGTCCATCAGCTTCGAGATCGGCGGGATCCTCGGCAACGCTCGGCCGGTCATGTTCGGCGCCTGTTTCAATCCGAGCTTGTTCAATATCTGTTCCTTGATCGCCTCTAGACTGAGGGCTCGGATCTCCTCGTGCATCCTACACGCGTTACAGGTGTTACCAGCCATCGCCAGGTATCTGACGTGGGCGGCTCTCTCGATGCCAGGAGCGTCGAAGGCACCGAGGAGGACCAGTGAGAGTAGTAGTAGCGCCCTCCTGACCATCTTTGCTCAAGGTCACCCTTAGTCGGATCAGTCACGATCGGCCTTCCTTGCGAAGGGAACGATCAGATGTTCGACTTCATTCTGTGCGTAACAACACACCTTGTGCCCCGAGTCTCGTGCCCTTGTCCCCTAACCCCGATAACCACCAACAAACGGTGCAACACGCCCTCCTTCTTCGTTTCTGCCTATCTTTCCTCTTATCTCGTGTAGATTACGAATTCTTTCGTGCTCAGCTGCTCCCACTTCCTCTTCTTCTTCTTCTTCTTTTCTTTCTCCTTCTTCTTCTTCTTCTTCCGCCTCCACCACCGCCACCTCCTCCGGTTCCGCAACACGCTTCTTTTTCCGTCGTTTATCCCGCGATACTATCCTCGTGATCTTCCGAAATCCTAAGTTACGCTCCTCGAGGAGATTCGTCTCGCTGGGAACGCGGAGCACGTCACCGTCTCCAGGAGCCGGCGCATCACCCGGATTAGGCGACCAGCCTCGATCACGATCGCGATCTACGCGATCCAGTTTCGCTCCTCGTCAACCCCTTCCCAGGTGGTCTGTCGAATCTCCGTACGGGACGTCTTCTCGATCCCCGAATCACCGAACCCTGGGGAACGTTTTGCACAGCGTGCTGTCGAACGTAGTATCCGACGAGCGTTTGGAACCCTGAAGGGACTCGAAGAATCCCTGGTGGAACGCGATAACGATGAAAATTAGTGTCTGTCGCTCCGTTGTTTCCGTTTACCCTGCTCACCGTAACAGAATCATTTACCCATAGTCACACACTCGAAAGCACAAGAATGACTAATAACCCCGAAAAATCACATTGCACTTTAGGGGTCGAATGCTCTGTTGCTCCCCCGCGACCCGCGACCAAGACTCCTCTGTGTCTCTAGGCGCTCTCCTTTGATATGTCCTCCTCCTCCCCCACCTCCTCCACCACCACCACCACCTCCTCCTCCTGCTCCTCCTCCAACCGCCTCGAAACAAAACGGTCCGGTGAACCCTCGTGACCTCCGGTGTTCCAGCGCGAACTTTAATCTCGAGACACGCGCGCGCGTTTACAACTTGATATATCCACACAGTTTACCGGTGCATCGCCGTGTGCGTCTTCCTGAACGTATCCCGGCAACGTATCATGGCACCCCGCTCTCGCTCTCTTATTTTCTCTTTCTCTCTCTGTGGTATCAACCCGTTTCCTTTTCCATCCTCTTCACCGCGATATTCAACGCGGGGAGGGGATTTGCCTCTCTCAGCTGGGGGTGCCGATAATCTCTCTTCCTCCCTTGTCCTCGCTTCCGGGATTGTGTACCAGGATTAGTTGGTTGGTTCGTAGCTGGGCTTGATCCTCCGAGTATACAGTTCTGTCTATTGGAATCTATCCTCGAATACGATCGAACGAAGACGATACCCCGATGATCGTTTCCGGAACACCAGCACAGGGGGTTTGCCTCCCGGAAGGAACCGACGAAACGATGCGGCCCGCCGAGGAAGGAGAGACGACGGACGGCGCGCAGAAGAGATGGACTACTTGGCTCTACGGATGTGTACACTCTCCGCTCGCGTGGCAGTGGCAAGCAGCTGGTGAAGCGTGTGCCGTGATGCCCGGTGGGAAGCCCGGTGGATCCTAAGAGCTTGCTGGCTTGTCAAGCACTGAGTCAGGAGGCGCGCGTTCTCACCGCATATATGTCGAGGCGGAGGCCTCCTCCTCCTCCACTTCTTCTTCTTCTTTCTTCTTCTCTCCCTCTATCCTTCGCTCTCTCACTTCGTCTCTCTGTTCACCACGCGTCGTGGTGTACGTATACACACGACATCTCTTTCTCCGTCTCTTCTCTCCTGTAGTATCTTACGTTGTACACTCGCGTGTAGGGGCCGCCGCGAACATATACCTACCAACAGCCCGCGTTCACCCGCCGCGCAACACGACTAGCCTCCCTCCTTCTCCTCCTCTCTCTCTCTTCCTGCTTCTCCTCCACATCGCCGCCACCTCCACCACCTCCACTACACGAACCTCCTTCTTTTCCTGCACACAGCTCCTCGCGCCCTCTTCGCCCTCTGCTTCGCCTCCTCCGTCTACCCCTTGATGCCCCGCTACCCCGAGAGCCTTACGCTCCCCCTCGCAATCCCCTACTACCAACTCTCTCTCTCTCTCCCTCCTGCGAGACCCTATCTCTCTCTCTGTTCTCCTCCACCCTTCGTTCACGTACATCGCTTCTGCCGCCATACTCCGCTCTTTCTCCAGCAATCTCACTCCCGCGATCTCTCCGTGCTTACCTTCCTTCTCTCGAACACGATACTCTTCTCTTTTCCTTCAGTGGCCTCCTATCTTCGTTCTACTATTCTTTTCCCTTCACCGTGCCTTCTTCTTATTATTCTTCGTCCCCTATACTCTTCGTCAACGCGGCACCGCTTTGCAAAATTCGCGTAGACAACGTCGAGGATCAACCGCGTCTTCTTCGGCCCACCCCCTCTTTTCGATCCATCTATATCTTCCCGCGGTTTTCTGTTCGATCGTTTCTACCGTGTCAATTTCCGGCTTCTGAGATCCAAGCGATCCGATTCATTCGTATTTCCTACCCTCCCACCGGTTGGCCGAGACTCTTTCATTCAACCCGTCGTGAATCGATCACCGAGAAACGCGTTATCAGTGGCCCGATCGTTCCGCACTTAATTCCGCGTGTTATACGGGTAGTATCCTATACGAACGGGGTATTATCCGGTTAACAAACGAATAAATAAATAAGTAAATTGTTCGGTTCCACGACACGGGCACCTTTCGTTTCTTCTTTTTTCTTCTTCTTCTTCTTCTTCTTCAATTTCAAGCCGATGTGCCCGGTGACGTGATCCGCAAAATGGAAACGTATGCGCGAAATTTCAAGGTTCTCGAAAGGATATATCCATACATACCTCGAATATCGTGCATTTTACCATAGGAAGAGAATTTAAAATTTCGATCGGCCGAGAGCGTGGTCGTGTGTGCAACGTCTGCAATTTGTGCACGGTCACGCCGAAAAATCGATCGAATTTTTATGCTGTTGCGAATCGAGGGCACGCACACGGCTGTGCTCACTGTCCCCCCTGCCCCTCCCCATTGGCCGATCAGGCAGATCCGATAGCAAACGGAGAAGAACGAAAAAGTAAAAGAGAACGGGTAGGAGGAGCTCGGGAGGGGGAGAACGGTAGGATCGACCAGATAGGACATCGATCTTCGTTTTGTTTCGCGACATTTGAAATCCAAATCGACTTCCGAAACGATTCAAATACCCGTGCATCGAGAAACTCGCGCGCGTCCGTCCGATCGTTCGCACGAGCTGCACCGGCCCGTGACGCATTACAAAACAGTGAAATCGGCTATTTTTACACCGAGTGTACATTTTAATCGCTAAAGGATTCCCGAATCTCCAATTTTGTCCTCGGTCTTTGGACTTCCTCTGCCACCTCCGATTTCCAATTCCTTTGCGCTCGTTAAGTCTCGAACCGGCGGAGAACTTGTCGTTTACACTTGTGGCTATCCTTCGTTTCCTATACTTCGTTTTTCTATTCATCCGCTCAGGCATCCTCCCTGTTCATTTTCTCCTGTTAAGATCCTCTTCGTTTGATGATAAACATCTTCCTTTCGGTATCGGAGTGTTCTCGTAGATCGTCGAGAAACTGTGAAGATCGCAAACCGTAAACGTTAACGTATTCTAAGCTGATCAATTTCGAATCGATTTAGATCGAGATTCATTGTCGGTTAAGCGATATAATCGAGTCGCGAATATATATGCGATAAAAGTAGCGTTATAATAACTGTCGATAACGATCGATGGAATTTGTGAAGAGCTTCGTCGGCTTTTCTCGGAACAATATTTTTCTCCGGTCGGCTCTTCCAACACAGGAACGGCGGCATCGTCCCTCTGAGATTACGTCGTTCAAGAAAATTTAATCACCGATCCATGAGCAGCAAGGCTGCTTCATCCTCGTTCACATCCATTTTTTCGCGGTCCAGCCCAGCTCGCATTAATTAGCATCCTCGGGACAGTGGAATTGGTTTACGGATCGTACGATCCGTCGATCATTTTCTCTTTGATCTCGATCGCACCCGAAACGATATCGCTACGATACAACAACCCGGCACAACGATGCGCAACCGGTCGTAAATTCGCTTTCTTTCGCCGATGGTTATCGTGATTTCCGATCGGCCGTGCGGTCGATCCTTTTTATAAATATTAATAACGATCCTTGACGAACAACATTTTCTTCCGTGTGTGCAACGCCGCGTTGCTGTACCGTTAATCGCAGTAAAACGTTCCACGACATTCATACGATCTGGCGCGCACGCGCGGATAATCCTTCGAAGATCGAGAACTCGCACAATTAATTCTATCGTACCCCGCTGGGATACTTGTAATCTAAGGTCTGATTTCTCTGGAATTTATAATAATAATATATCTTTATTGCATAATATAGCGTATAGTATGTAATAAAGTGTAACGAGCGAGTTACAACAACGAGCACAATCCTCGGTGGTCCAGAAGTTAGAAATTGATGAATTCGGGCCGTATGAGTGCCTGAAACTGTCGTCCACATGTTTCCTGTTGCCCCACACGTTGCCCGATGTCTGTCATCGTAAGGACCAATCGAGGGGGCTGCTGCCTCTCCGGTCGTGGCCGCCTGCACTCGCACCATCACCAGCAGCAGCAGGTGCCTCCCGAAAAAGGATCTCCTTCGCCTTTTTTTCTGCCGTTGCATCCCGCTAACGAGCTCCTCTACCATAGCCTAACCGTTTCACGGACCACCGAGATTCCTTCTTTTCTAGATTTTTTTTTATTTCCAGTCCTTCGATCCCATCTGCAACGGGACTCGACTCGACCTTACGATTTCTTCGCTTGCTGACTCGTTACTCGGTATGCGTGTGAATTTTAATGATATTACACGCATGCAATATTTGTAATGGTAGTCAAGATTTGATGCATTTGTCACGTATCGAAATGTGTGTAAAACACCATAGAAATGAGAACCTTTGTAAAGTGGTCTTTGTTGTTACTTTACTTTGGCATTGTCAAATTTTCTCGGGGAATAAAATAAGTTTCTGTTGTATTCTCTTTCTTATCAAGTAGATAAGTCAGTTTTAAAACAATGGGTGCGAACCCACGCGTTAATATAGTAATAGAAAACACATTTTACAGTTATACAGAGAATCCTAAAAACACATGCTGCATCAACGATCGTCACTGTGTGTCTACATACGATAAACTTCACCTCCACGATTCATTTTTCTTAAGGAAAACAAATTATATATTGATAAATTTTTAAATATTTCATATAATTGTCACGTCTTCGCGACGATTAATAAAACTAACAAATCGATAGCATTGAAACGAGACAGAATTGTTATATTTGAGCGACGCCATTTTTGGCGCCATTTTAGCCCGCGCAATTTTTACATCTTACTCGATTTTCAAACTACGAAACAATTGCCACCGTTGGCGCACCGCCATCTTGAAATCTCCTATTCCAAACCACGCGTAGATTGCGAATGCTTATGCCAACTCACATTTTAATAGATTAAACAAAAAAAGCATCACTTGCAC